TTGAAGCCATGAAATCCGAGATAGAATCCATGTATGAAAACAAAGTATGGACTTTGACAGACTTGCCCGATGATCGGCGAGCGATAGAAAACAAATGGATCTTTAAGAAGAAGACGGACGCGGATGGTAATGTTACCATCTATAAAGCTCGACTTGTCGCTAAGGGTTATCGACAGGTTCAAGGGATTGACTACGACGAGACATTCTCTCCCGTAGCGAAGCTAAAGTCCGTCCGAATCATGTTAGCAATTGCCGCATACTATGATTATGAGATATGGCAGATGGACGTCAAAACAGCATTCCTTAACGGGCATCTTAAGGAAGAACTGTATATGATGCAGCCGGAAGTTTTTGTCGATCCTCAGAACGCTAACAAAGTATGCAAGCTCCAGCGATCCATTTATGGACTGGTGCAAGCATCTCGGAGTTGGAACATTCGCTTTGATGAGATGATCAAAGCGTTTGGGTTTATGCAGACTTATGGAGAAGCCTGCGTTTACAAGAAAGTGAGTGGGAGCTCTGTAGCATTTCTCATATTATATGTAGATGACATACTCCTGATGGGAAATAATATAGAATTTCTGGACAGCATTAAGGCCTACTTGAATAAGTGTTTTTCAATGAAGGACCTTGGAGAAGCTGCTTATATATTAGGCATCAAGATCTATAGAGATAGATCGAGACGCCTCATAGGTCTTTCACAAAGCACATACCTTGATAAGATTTTGAAGAGATTCAGAATGGATCAGTCCAAGAAGGGGTTCTTGCCTATGTTACAAGGTATGAGACTGAGCTCAGCTCAGTCACCGACCAAGGCAAAAGATAAAGAAGAGATGAGTGTCATCCCCTATGCTTCAGCCATAGGATCTATTATGTATGCCATGCTGTGTACCAGACCCGATGTAAACCTTACCGTAAGTTTGGTAGCAAGATACCAAAGTAATCCCGGCAAGGAACACTGGACAGCGGTCAAGAATATCCTGAAGTACCTGAAAAGGACAAAGGACATGTTTCTCGTTTATGGAGGAGACGAAGAGCTCGTCGTAAAGGGTTACGTCGACGCTAGCTTCGACTCAGATCTGGATGACTCTAAGTCACAAACCGGATACGTGTATATGTTGAATGGTGGAGCAGTAAGCTGGTGCAGCTGCAAGCAGAGCATCGTGGCGGGATCTACGTGTGAAGCGGAGTACATGGCAGCCTCGGAGGCAGCACATGAAGCGATTTGGGTGAAGGAGTTCATCACCGACCTAGGAGTCATACCCAATGCGTCGGGGCCGATCAAACTCTTCTGTGACAACACTGGAGCTATTGCCCTCGCAAAGGAGCCCAGGTTTCACAAGAAGACCAGGCACATCAAGCGTCGTTTCAACTCCATCCGTGAAAATGTTCAAGATGGAGACATAGAGATTTGCAAAGTGCACACGGATCTGAATGTCGCAGATCCGCTGACTAAACCTCTCTCGCGTGCAAAAGATGATCAACACCAGAACTCTATGGGTGTTCGATTCATCACAATGTAACTAGATTGGTGACTCTAGTGCAAGTGGGAGACTGTTGGAAATATGCCCTAGAGGCAATAATAAAAGTATTATTATATTTCATTGTTCATGATAATTGTCTTTTATTCATGCTATAACTGTATTATCCGGAAATCGTAATACACGTGTGAATACTTAGACCACACTATGTCCCTGGTAAGCCTCTAGTTGACCAGCTCGTTGTGATCAACAGATAGTCATGGTTTCCTGACTATGGACATTGGATGTCGTTGATAACGGGATCACATCATTAGGAGAATGATGTGATGGATAAGACCCAATCCTAAGCATAGCATAAAAGATCGTGTAGTTCGTTTCGCTAGAGCTTTGCAAGTGTCAAGTATCTCTTCCTTCGACCATGAGATCGTGTAACTCCCGGATACCTTAAGAGTGCCTTGGGTGTATCAAACGTCACAACGTAACTGGGTGACTATAAAGGTGCATTACAGGTATCTCCGAAAGTAGCTGTTGGGTTGACACGGATCGAGACTGGGATTTGTCACTCCGTATGACGGAGAGGTATCTCTGGGCCCACTCGGTAATGCATCATCATATTGAGCTCAATGTGACCAAGGTGTTGGACACGGGATCATGCATTACGGTACGAGTAAAGTGACTTGCCGGTAACGAGACTGAACAAGGTATTGGGATACCGACGATCGAGTCTCGGGCAAGTAACGTACCGATTGACAAAGGGAATTGCATACAGGGTTTGATCGAATCCTCGACATCGTGGTTCATCCGATGACAACATCGAGGAGCATGTGGGAGCCATCATGGGTATCCAGATCCCGCTGATGGTTATTGACTGAGAGCGTCTCGGTCATGTCTGCATGTCTCCCGAACCCGTAGGGTCTACACACTTAAGGTTCGGTGACGCTAGGGTTATGAAGATATGTATATGCAGAAACCCGAATGTTGTTCGGAGTCCCGGATGAGATCCCAGACGTCACGAGGAGTTCGGGAATGGTCCGGAGGTAAAGAATTATATATAGGAAGTGCTATTTCGGGCATCGGGACAAGTTTCGGGGTTATCGGTATTGTACCGGGACCACTGGAAGGGTCCCGAGGGTCCACCGGGTGGGGCCACCTGTCCCGGGGGGCCACATGGGCTGTAGGGGGTGCGCCTTGGCCATCATGGGCCAAGGGCACCAGCCCCTATAGGCCCATGCGCCTAGGGTTTCCCCCTAGGAGGAGTCCTAGTGGTGGAAGGCACCCCTAGGTGCCTTGGGGGGGGAGGGAAACCTCCCCTAGGCCGCCGCCCCCCCTAGTAGATCTCATCTACTAGGGCCGGCACCCCCCTGGCACCCCTATATATAGTGGGGGAGAGGAGGGACTTCATACACCAGCCCCTGGCGCCTCCTCCTCCCCCTGTTACGTCTCTCCCTCGTAGTCTCGGCGAAGCCCTGCTGCTGTGACGCCCTGCATCCACCACCACGCCGTCATGCTGCTGGATCTTCATCAACCTCTCCTTCCCCCTTGCTGGATCAAGAAGGAGGAGACGTCTTCCGTCCCGTACGTGTGTTGAACGCGGAGGTGCCGTCCGTTCGGCACTGGTCATCGGTGATTTGGATCACGTCGAGGACGCGATCTACAAGTGGTATGTAGATGCAAACTCTCTCCCTAGTCTCGTTGCTTAGATGAACTCATAGATGGATCTTGGTGAAACCGTAGAAATTTTTTAATTTTCTGCAACGTTCCCCAACAATCTTCACAACCAGAAACATTTTCATTCCCAGCAATACCAACACCAGGCGATTTGGAATCAAGTATGCTGGCAGCACTAGCATCCTCATCAGCAACTTTGGTACCAACTTTGCGCCCACTACTCAATGGAACATCACGAGCATCATCTCCACCACTAAGGACAACCCCATGTTCAACATCATTAATCTGACGAAAATAAAAATTCAGAAAAAGTGAATAATATGAACAAAACTAACAATAAAAAATAAGCTACCAAGAGGTGCACAGAAAAATAAACCTTGGAAGCATTCGCAGCAACATCATCGAACTTGCTGCTGCTAACATTCAAAGCAACATCACCAACGGGCAAACAAGGCTCATCGCCAACAATAGGACCCTGATTCAAATGTAATGAGGCAAAAAAACAATGCTATTATGAGCGACAATAAACACAAGGAATTAAAACAACAGTAACAAAAAAGGTAGCTACCCCCTTGCAAACTCTAAACGGTGTGGGATAGAAAAATGAACAAGCAAGACACATTGGTGCGCATGAAAATTCAAGAAAATATGAATAAACACAATGAAAATAAAAATAACCTTGCACTCATCAGTGGATGGATCATTAACTCCACGGTCAACAGCAGCCTCAACATTATGACTGGTCTCCTGCATGAAAAGAAAAATTAATAAACAGATGTAGATCAGGAAGTTCAACTACAATACTGACAGCAGAACAACATAGTAAAAACATACAAACAACGAGGACTGACTCACATCAACAACAGGGTGCTGCAAGCCAACATCATTCATATGCTGATCAGAAACATTAGCCTTAGTACCATCATCAGCCCTGCTGTCGGTGCCAGCAGCCTCATCCTGATCAATCTGCATGAAAGAAAATTATTAATAAATAGATGAAGATGAGGAAGTTCAACTACAACACTGACAGCAGGACAACAAAGTAAAAATTGCAAACACTGAGGACTGACTGACATCAACATCAGGATGCTCAAAGCCAACATCATTTGTTTCGTGATCAAAAACATTAGCCTCAGTACCATCACCAGACCTGCTGTCGGTGGCAGCAGCCTCATCCTGCTCAAACTGCTTGATAACAACATTTGCACTTTCTTCATATGGCTTGCAGCGAGAGTTTTGCGTAGTTCTGAAACGCTTCATGTTGTTCAACAGACGAATCGAGCTCTGAACTAGATTAGCGGCACCGTCACGCATATCACCGATTAAAATTCTCTCCATCTCAATGTAGTCAACAGCTTCCTTAGCGTTAAATTGATGACCTTCATGAAGGATACCATTGATACAGCTCAATCGCTCAACTGTCGTTGGGACCTTTTGCAGCTCAAAACACACATTACTTAAGATATGCTCAGCGCGCTCCAACGCTGAAACAACAACATCAATACCAAAACCCTGCCTCTATGAAGCAATAGCATTACTAGGGCCAGGGGGGCATAACTAGCACCCTCAACACAACGGCCATCCCTCAACTCATCGGGAAGAGATGAAAACTTCGGAACCTGAGACGACGGCATCTCCAGGACTGGCCGTTTATACACTTGGAAAAAACAACCTCCTCTTGAGTTTTCCACTACAGACAAAAGGGAAAAATAGTTAATCAATCAATGCAACACATAGGGAAAAATAAATCATGATATTAACAGATTTAAAATCAACACCACTAATAAACTTTAACTGTCATTGCCAATTTGTTAGTATTTACCAACAGGCCAGTTGAACAAAGTTATTGAGTTAAACCACACACGAAAAAACAGTACTAAAAAACCATACCCATACAAAATATAAACAGACAACTCTACAGTACACGTGTCCACTACAGCAAAAAATAGCTATACCTAAATTAAAAAGAAGGTCTGCAAGACACAAACCAAACAAAACTCACCGGAAGCTTCCCAAACACCCAAGTCTTTGGATCTGCATTTCCTTTTTTTATCAAATCTGCATCAACCAGATCAGAAAGCTTGGCAGGATCCATGAAATATATGTGGGGGACTCGCATGTCAGGATCCGCAATCTTGCCACGGATAAGGCAGTCAAGGTACATTAGTATAGGCCCTATGGCACAGCCTGTGATTGCCTTCCCGATGGTATCACCATTTTGGTACTTGGCAACAGCCCTTCTAAGCTCATCAACCATCAGCTGGCAATAATCCATATTAGCCATGTCCTCAAAGACGAGACCCTCAAACATTGCTGCCTCTCTGGAAACACGCGGGGCAGAACCAGGCAACACAACCTTCATAAACACAATCATGAAGAACACTTTCAGAGCAAGGTCATCTTTGCTAGGATCCTTGACGAGCACCTTGAGCTTATTCCTCAAATCCTTTGTCTTGATATCTTTGTCCCTGCTAATTTCAAGCTCCGATCTTAACTTCATCAGAGCGTTGTCATATCCATCCTCTGACGGCCTTGGCGCAGAACGACCACCACGAGGGAAACCAAATAATTGTTGTATACCATCGCTAGTGATGCAAAGCTTATTATTAGCCTCACCCATGTCAAGAGTCATTGTATCACAATCTATCCTCAGGTACAAAACTCACATCAGAGGGCGGGAAATGTTAGACTTCACCCTCCACTTGAAAATAGAACCAAAACCAGATGCATGAACCCTAGCCACATTCCGACTCTCGAGCAATTTAGCACAATCTTCAACCTCTCTCAACGAACATCACACAGTTAAGTTCAATTTTTGTTGGTCACCTTCATCCAAGGTAACTTTTCCAGCATTGCCTCCCACCGGCTTGACCGGACTCATAATGCTAACAGGCTGTAAATGAAAACAAAAAAGCCACACCTTAAAAAAATGAATATAGAAAACAAAACAAGCATATGAATGCAAGTAAAAAGAAAAAAAAAGATTGCACAAGTTCAACTATTAAAACAACATCAGTACCACCCCTCAATTGATGCAAACAATGATCAACCTCACCTGGCCGCAATACCAGCCCAAACACAATTAAATCATTACAAGTACAACTAGTAAGTCACATGCAGTACAAAACACATACCACTGCAAACAATGAATATAGAAAACAAAACAACCATATGAATGCAAGTAAAAAAAAGATTGCACAAGTTCAACTATTAAAACAACATCAATACCACCCTCAATTGATGAAAACAATGACCAGCCTCACCTGGCCAGCATACCAGCCCAAACACAAATTAAATCATTACAATTACAATTAGTAAGTCACATGTAGTACAAAACACATACCACTGCAAACAATGAATATAGGAAACAAAACAAGCATATGAAGGCAAGTAAAACAAAGAAAAGTTTGCACAAGTTCAACTGTTAAAACAACATCAGTACCACAAATATGCAAACAATGACCAGCCTCACTTGGCCAGCATACCAGCCCAAACACAATTAAATCATTGCAAGTACAACTAGCAAGTCACATGCAGTACAAAACACATACCACTGCAAATTCATCTTCTGAATCAACTTCAATATCATCTTCTTCAGATGCAGCATCTTCATCTCCGACACGAGCACGCTTCTTCACACCTTTGTTCACCTTTGGAGGATGAACTTTATGCTTCTTATTTTCTTTCAACAAAGACTGCTCTCAGAGACGAAGAAGGCTTCTTATTTGTCAAACCTCGTGGACTCCGACGAACAGAGGAGCCACCAAGTTTTCTTGGACCAATTTTCACAGCAACACTATCCGCATCAGCTTTGCTATTACCAGGTTGGGAACCAGCTTTCACACGTGGGCTACGCCTCTGTGTGCCGTCAGGATTTTGATCTGACATCTTCCTCTTCAAAATAGCTTTCTTCTCCTTAACTCCATCATGATCAAACACTTGCGTCAACTGAGTTTGCATCGAGTTTGTCTTCACAAGCATGTCACTTCCATGAGATTTGGCATGAACAGTTGAAAAACCCACGTCACCACCTTCATCGCCTACACATTTAGTTGTTTGAGCAACATCAACATCACTTTTTGGCACACAGGCAACCTTTTGACGCTGTTCCAATTCCTTTCTCTTATGGAATTCATACTTCTTCTTTCTTATCCTTTCATCCTCGATCTGTAACTGCATAGGAACATCCTCAGCTTGGGTAACAGGCTCAGTGCCATCAACACTTTGAGACTGAGTAACAGACAACTGCAAGCTGCCATCACCATCATCAACGTTAAGTGAATACATCCCATCATTAATATCTTTAACAACATCAGCAATGTCCTTTGGAACACCATGGCTGTCATTAACTGCATAAAACAATAACATAAGCACACACATAAAAAATTAAAGCACAGTTAACATTGCAGACACAAAGATAAATAAAGCGCATACCATCAGACACAAACAAAAAGGAACAACTGATGAAACTAAGCATATATATATATATGTATTAAAGGCTGATAAAAAAAGAGCAAATATAAGGGAAACACCAGCAACATTCGCAAGTTCTTCTAGAGGATTTGGTGTCTCAAAAATAACATTCACAAGATCTTCAAAGCGTTCTGATTTGTCAGAATCAGGAGGCACCGGCACTCCAACATCTGCAACAACATCATAATTAGCAAAAAACTACAAGAACAATCAATCAGTTCAACTATGTGAACACTACAAGTTCACCGAATAAAACAAATATGAACCCACCACTTGCAGAACAAACTTCAGAAAACACAACTCTTTCAACACCATACTAGTTCTTCATTGGCTACTACAACCTATTGAAATGCCAGGACAACAGTTGAAAATACACATGGTGATAAGTACTACAACCTGTCTGCAGGTTGCGTCAACTGCCAAAACCATACACACCATACAATCCAGGACAAAATTAACACATATCAAAATACATACAACTTATAAAGTCGATACGGCAACAATTGTACAACCTAAAAACCAGATCTGTTAAAACATCATCCAAAATACAGGGAAAATCACCTGCATACAATTTGTCCGGACTAGATGATGTACCCATTGACATCTACAGTCCTAAAATCTGCCGAACCAGATCTGCAAGACACATGAACAAAAATTAGGAATTTGAACTATTTCAGAAATGAAGCACGCCATACAAAAGCAAAACTCTTACCAGCAAACACAAAATCCGCCATGCAATCCAGTATCATTGCCGCCAAACGCTCGTTCAACAGCAGAGGAACCCTAGCGAGTGCAGCCTGGGACAGCAAAAATAGCAATAGATTAGAAACAGAGAGAAAATCTGAACATAAGAGGACGCAAGCGAAGTCAATGGCAGAGCAAAAGGAACAAAACAGAGCACCCCGGACCTCCACCCCTGGGATTGAACAATCCGGCCGACGCTCCCGCGGCGAAACATGAGTAGCAACTCCCCCTCCGAGAAGAGAAGAAGAGGGGAACAAAGACGGAATCAATTTGTGGATGGGACAGGCGCGGAACGGGGAAGATCGAAGGTTAAAAGGTGAGTGGGAGGGTTAAAAGATGAGTGGGAGAAAACGGACGGCTAAAGCCCACAACCGTGTCGAAGCCCACTATATCTGGCCAGTTACAAAAGATAATACCAAAAATCAAGTACAGTAAAAAAAATAATATAGATGGAGAAAACAAACGGCTAAAGTACAAATAATAACTCACAACAGTACAAATTTTTTTATCAAAAAAGTACAAATGAAAAAATAATTCATAACGGTGCTGGTTTTTCCCCTAAAAAATAAAGATAAGATAATGGGGGCAAGTCATGTTACGGACTCGCATCTGCATGCGACGCCGCGGCACGCCGCGTCGTCGCCTGCTATGGCTCATTCCTGGCTCGGCCTCACCGGGATGGGGGAGGGGGGGGGGTCCCGACCCCACCCCCCGGCTCGACCTCGCGCTAACGCGGCAGTGCACTCATTTGATAGGCGCAGTGCGGTTATTCTGTTTCCCGACCCCACGCACCCACACCCCTAAGATAGATAATGCGGCAAAGTCAATACAAGGAAGATGTGTCAGTACAACTATGCCCCTCGGTACGGTGCGGTGCAGGGGCAAGTCATGTTTGCCCCCCCACGCACCCACACACCTAAGATAGATAATGGGGCAAAGTCCATACAAGGAAGATGTGTCAGTACAACTATGCCCCTTGGTACGGTGCAGTGCGGGGGCAAGTCATGTTCCCCCCCCCACGCACCCACACCCCCTAAGATTGATAATGGGGCAAGTCATGTTACGGACTCGCCTCTGCATGCGACGCCGCGGCACGCCGTGTCGTCGCCTGCTACGACTCGTTTCTGGCTCAGCCTCGCCGGGATGGGGGAGGGGGGGTCCCGACCCCCCTTCCCCCCGGCTCGGCCTCGCGCTAACGCGGTAGTGCGCTCATTTGACAGGCGCAGTGCGGTTATTCTGTACCCCCCACGCACCCACACCCCTAAGATAGATGATGGGCAAAGTCCATACAAGGAAGATATGTCAGTACAACTATGCCCCTCGGTACAGTGCGGTGCGGGGGAAAGTCATGCCCCTCAGTACTATATTCAAACAAACAAAAAAAGAAAAAAAAATTGACAGCCCAAGGACAAAAAAGTACCAGTCAAAGTTACTGGTGTACTCAAGTACTAGATCCAAAAACAACAAAAAATAAAAAAATTGACCGCCCAAGGAAAAAAAAGTACCAGTCCAAGTTACTGGTGTAGTCAAGTACTAGATCAAAAACAACAAAAAATAAAAAAATTGACCGCCCAAGGACAGGCGCAGGCCCTGACAACGCTAGATACTTGAGCTCGAGCCCGTGGGCGAATCCCTAGTAATCCGCACGCCCGCAGGGCCTGCCGTCCAGGGCCCACAAGTCGAGAGAGAGAGAGAGCGAGCGCCGTGTATAAGCGCTCTAGTAAGTGTTCAGAGGAGTTCGATCGGTGAGCGTTGACTGCGCTAATAAACAAGTCTAGAGCCCCTCGACTAGCGAGGTGGGACTAAACACATAGCTCACGTGCATGCCGTGCTGCACAACCGTGCAAGAGAAGCTATTCGGGCCGAATACAACGACCCAGGCCGATGGCCCAACAAAGTACTTCACCCCATTACAAAAATCCAGTAGATCACGCACGACAAAAAAGTAAAAAATGAAGATAATTTTAAAAAAACCCAGTTAATAAACAAAAATATTGTAAAAAGTTCGAACACATATTAATGGTAAGAAGTAAAAAAAATATAAGACTGTAAATAAAAATTTCAGAAACAAATTTACAAAAAGTTCAACTACTACAATTCATAAGGTTCAAGTACAAATAAAAAAAATACTGTGCAGCGAAGAATAAATTTTTTTATTTTATAAAATACCAAAACTATTATTATTCATCTATAAAAAGAAAAAAACGTGCTCCAAAATTCGTGTAAAAAAGTAAGAAAAAAATATTATACAACAAACAAATTTGATTGGTAATTGACAACCTAAAATAGATCAGTACTATCATTAACAGAATGTAAGTTCAGCAAACTCAATAACAAAAAGGGTTTCTAAAAAAATCATCAGCGTATAGCGCCGTCTGCGAGTTATGAACATGAAAAATATACCAGTCAAAACAAAGGATGCCCATCAGTTCAACTATAGAAATTGTTCCAGTACTAATATAAAGAATGTATAAATAAAACAGTTATAATTGAGCAGAACAATAGGAAAAACATTACATAACTTGTTCCAAACCATTTTGATAATACCATACAATTCACAAGAAACAAAAAATGCAGATAATTTTTAAAAAAACTCACAAGAAAAATCAGTTAATAAACAAAAATATTGTAAAAAGTTCAAACACATATTAAAGGTAAGAAGTA